CGCTAAAGCTTTTCACCGAAAGAGGTTGAGCAGTCGTTCCGGTAAGCTTCCGTCATGCAATCGCTCCTGGCATACAATTGTATTGGGCAGGAAGCAAGCATGCTGCAGTCTTTTTCGGAGTTGGCGCTAAGGCGTGTCAGGGGGAGGTTGACACGGCGCCAGCCCATTTCCCCTTCCCTGCCAACGGTTGAAGCGGGCATGCGACAGGAAAACGGGCTTGTGCTGCACCAAACCCAACCCCTCCCGAGAGATCCCAGCGTGGGCAGCAAATACGATTACACATCTGTCTGAACCTCATTCTGCCTGACCTTCCTGTGGAAAGAGCTGCGACTTATCATACTGCTTCAGAGAACTGGAACGGTTCTTCTTCACCACGGCTTATCGCGGACAGGAACTCCGAGAGTGGTTTAGAAGGGACACAATATTGAAGCAATGGCGTTCTGTTGCGGATAAATATCGGTAAGTCGTTCACTTGAGGGTCCACGTGTCGCCATGGGTACAACTTCTTGCATAGGTCCGAGTTCAATACCACCGTGTTTTATGACGACGCTATTTATCTGGATTTGATTGAAAACATGCCAACAGACACTTGGCAGGTAGGCAACCTTTCAGCATAAAATTACTGACTTTGATGCTGTTATCCTCATGTGCAACGAGAAACTGCAGGTCAACGGCGCGCGCGGTTGTGGAGCGGTTAGCTCACTGGGGCGCCTTTGTAGTGCACGGTCGCTAGTTCGCCTAATCCATTTATTAGTCGCCGAGTTCTTCTTTTTAACTCACAAACTAACTTTGTTGAGACCTGCAAAGTCTTCTGGAAGCTGCGAAATGGTAGAAGTGAGCCTGTATAAGCTCCGCCAAGTGCCATTTGGTACTTCGACCTAAACGAACTGCACCTTATTTATCAAATTTCAAACACGGTAGGAAACGATGGTGTGGTTCTTCTATCATTTCTATCTCGAGCGTTGTTTCGCTTTCGCTAAAGAATGGGGTTCGAACAGTGAGAAGCCGCGACGCGACCGCGCGCGTCCCATATTGATCAACACAAACTATGGCAGATATCCTTAGTCGTGGGGTTTCCCAAAAGTTTCGTGATTTCAGTCTGGTGTAGCTACCATCTGCTGCATGGCTATCGTCTGCATGATCTTTATGTGGGATCCATACACGGTACACGGTTGTTATCCCACAACGGCCAGTGATTGCAGAGTATAATGACAGGTTTGGGCGGAAAAAAACCTTCTGATATCCTCCACGGCTAGAATTAGAGGGCATTTCTTGTAACTACCCGCATTTAATTTTTTCTTTCACGTTCATTCAGGACTTCTCGGCACGTTTACTCATGGGACCCAGGAACAGAAACTAGATCGCCATTGTATGGGCTGCTCTTGTCATATCCATAGGTTTTTCTGTGGATATACCAGCTCACGTATCTTTCCATTACTATGCTGCTGTAAGTGATTTATAAAGGAACTCAGTTTACAAAGATCTAGCCTCCCAGCTGCGTGAACTATACACTTATCTCTCTGGATTCTGGTCCTCGTGAATGGGATCGCGCGCGAGCTGCTGTAGTGCGCAACCCTGCTCCGCCTAAAAAGGCAGGCGGGCTAAAAAACGCAGGTGAGGGAAGGGTATTGAGAAGCCATGTGCCGTGTTTGTCAGCTCCGCCGCGCGTTGCCGCCACGCCAGACGCACACGCCTAACCATAGCCGAAAGTGCTACTCGTCGCATTCTCTGTACTTCCTGGTTGTGCTCGACCTGCGATGCTGAGTATTCATGGCGAAATTTCAGAAGAAAATAACCCAATGTTGCACCTCCGGGCGCTAAGCTGTGTGAAGTCGGCAACGGCACCCGGCACGGCGTTTCAACCCCCGTGACCGGCGCCTTTGTGGCAGTGACGGCCCCGCGGAAGCCGCTATCCAGCCCCGTTCGTTGCATTTTTGCAGTAGATAGTTGCCGTGTAACTGCAGCTGTGGACCCAGTTACTTTACACCTGGGAAGGACACTCCCAGAAGGTGAATGTACAGCTCGTTTCAAGGACTCGCGTGACTGTGACTGATCGTGCGCTCACACGATAGTCGCTAGACGCGTTCGCGCGCGGCTAATTTCGATCACAGGTAGCTGATCGAACATGCCGCCGAACTTCTGCAGCAGGTTTCAACGACTACGGGTGGAGCGCTGCCCAGTTCGCAAATTGCTCCTGACATCCTCGGTAGCGTATGAACATAGCCTGATTAAGAAGCTCTCTAAACAGCGCGGGCGCTACTAATACTATTAGGGTTGTCCGGAAAGTTCTCAGCGTTTTGTGCACCTATTTTTGTACATTCACTGCTGATTAAAAACTCATTCTGCCTTGCTTCTCAGTAGCACATCCTGATCTCTTAGAGAAGTTTTGGCGACTATCGCTGAATGGTAATAACTGCGTTTCACCATTGCTTGATGAACCCTTTTTTCACAGATTTTTTCCACAGCATCGTGAAAAAGAGCACGCTCGGACGATTTTTTTTCTTCGACTATAAATTGGGGCAATCCGCAATCGAAACAGCTCAACAAATTAACCAGGTGTGGAGGCCCAATAGTGCTAGAGAAAGCACTGTGCGGCAATGGCTCAACAAATTTCGTTCTGGAGATTTCAGCCTTGAAGACGAACCTCATTAGCGGCGCTCGACCTTACGAGCAATATTCTGACGAGGATTTTAGGGGGATTTTGGAGGCTGACCCATTCCAAACAGTTCGACAGATAGCCAGAAGAGCTGGCGTTGGCAAATCCACTGTTGCAGATGGTCTGGAACGCATTGGGAAGGTGAAAAAACTCGACAATTGGGTGCCCCAATCGGAGTGACCGGCAGGAATCGGCACGTCTCGAGGTTCCTTCTGCATTGCTTTTGCGCAGCAGAAACGACCTGTTTTTGGGCCGAATTGTCACCTGTGATGAAAAATGGGTCATGTATGATAACAGGAGACGTTCCGGACAGTGGTTGGATTTCGACGAACCACCGAGGTAATTTTCAAAGCCGAACCCTCACGAAAAAAAGATTCTGGTCACGGCTTGGTGGTCATCGGCTGCTGTGATCCACTATAACTTTTTATCATCACCCCCCCCCCCCCCCCACCGGCAAAACCATCCAGCGTGACAACCCTACAGTGAAGAAATCGTCGAATTGTACGCGGAAATTGTTGTCTAGAACTAACGCAAAACTTATCAAAGAAAGGGCGATTTCCTTCTGCATGACAACGCCCGCCACGGACGTTTTCAACAAATCACTCATCCCATAATGAACGAATGGCGGTCGCAAGTTCTAGCCTCGACCGCACATAGGTCTTGCTTGAACTTCGCCAACAACATCCTATCACCTTTTCCTAATCCCACTTTCTCAGAACTCCTTGCTGGAAAATACTTCATCAATCAGGACCAGGCAAAAAAGCCTTAGTGGATTTCGTGAATTTTCGACCACCCAGTTTTTTACTTTGATGGGATTTCTCGACTGCTGTCACATTGGCAAAAGTGTGCTGATTCGAATGGTGCCTATTTCGATTGAATCCGATGAGTATCAAAAAGTTACGATCGTTTAAAGTGAACCACCACCCGAACTCGAGAACTTCGCGCGACAACCTATACAGACTGTAAAGCGGCGCTGCTATCGCTTCCGAGCGATTGGACTAGCTACTTTCATGTTGCACTCAGAGTATGAAATTCAGCTGCACATGTCAAGCCGCCAGTAACAGCACGTCTTCGATTGCACTACTGCCTGTCGTCAGTAGGATTTCCAGCACTACAAGCGTCACTCAGCACAAGTCTTTGTGTTCTGGCCTTGTTTGTTGGTGCCAATCTACATTCTCAAGCTAGGTGTACATTTTCCCTTCCTTCCTTTGGATTTTTCTTTTTCATCTATCCTCTTCAGGTATCTCGCGAAGACGATGATATATTGTATGGGCGTTATCGCGTCATTCACGGGTCCTTGGTTGCGTATCCCATGTCTGCTCAGCTTCACCGATCCACTGGTCACACGACTACGTTCCTGCTCAACAAACCCATGATATGCGTGTTCTGTGCAATTTTCAATCTCTCGTTCACCTCACCCTATCTGAGTCTTTTCATGCGTTGAACCTTCCACGCTCTAAGCTTTATGCTGCGTTCAGTTTCCTCATTTCTGTAAGGTTGTGCTTTAAAGATCGTCCACATAAGAAGTGTGTATATGTTGTATAGAAACGCCCGACTTGGCCATTATACTTGTTACTGTTTTCGCACATCTCTGTTCTTTTTATGAAGATGGGTATTGATTTTGCGCGCATATGATCAACATCCAATGTCCACGTACATGCGCTGTGAGGTGGCGTTCGTAGGTGGTTAAGCAGCCTTCCATAGTTGTTATGTTGTATGTGATACCGTGCAAAATACTAGAACTAATAAATTTTTGTAACATTTATTGGACCCATTCGTGACAATATTCGCCACTGCTGGTGGACCGTAAGAAGTTATTTTGGGCCATGTCCACCAAATGTGGCGAGCGGGCTTTTCATGAAATTAGAAACAGTCCAAATGCTTCAGGAGCCTTCTTCAATGGGACTATCTTGACAATTTATTAATTTATGCAAATTGGGGACCGATGAGATCTTCCATAGTTGAGCTTTTCTTAGTTTAATTGGTTTGTGCCCCTACGTAGCAAGGTTCAGCGGGTGTCGTTCGTGCCCAAGCAGCCTACAGGTAGTCTGCACGGTATAGGGAATGAGAGATAGAAAAAAGCTCAAAACTTGCCCTGCCGAAGGGAAAACCCTGCAGAAAAAGGAATGCATTGAAAAGCGTTATATTGGCAGGTGGAGAGCACTGCAGTGGGAGAACGCGTACCTTCCTTCTCCATAACTGAGGATATGGTGTGTGCCACTAAGAAGCCGAATGCTAGTGAGCGGGTGTCGTTCGCGCCCAAGGAGCCTGCTGGATTTTGCATGGCTGAGGGCATGAGTGCTTGAGGATAGGAAACGACTCAAAACTTGTCCTACCGGAGCGGCTGTACAAAATAAAAGAATAAGGGTCGTAGTCCGGAAGATGTCTACGTGTGACATTTCTTTTCCTCACGTGTACGATGCTATGAGCATGGAAAGCTTTTGCGTAGTTCATGAAGTCCTCTAGTGCATTCTGTGGAAAATTCGTGTTTTGAAGGATCGTCCTTCAGTTTTGAGAATAAGGGTCGTAGTCCGGAAGATGCCGAGCGAGACATCTTCTTTTTCGCCACGTATGCGATGTGTGCAGCTCATGCCGGAAGCTTTTGTGTATTTTTATGAAACGTCTCTAGTGCATTCTGTGAAAATTCGTGTTCTGGTTTTTTTTTTTTTTTTTGTTTTTTTTTTTTTTTCTTTTTTTTCTTTTTCTTTTTATTTTTTTCAACCTTCTGTGGACTCGAAATCGATTGAAAAGCTTCTAGCGGAAGCAATCTGTAGTGGAGAAAGTTTACCTTGTTCTCCAATGCTTGAGAGTTTGGTTTGCGTCAATACGTAGCAAGGTTGTGATGAGCAGGTGTCGTTTGTGCCCAAACGGCCTGCTGAATTTACATGGGTGGGGCATAAGTTCCTGAGCAGAAAACCATTCAAATTCAAAAAAAAAACTCGCTCTCGATTTACTAAAAGAAAAGTCAGGCGAACAGAATTGAGTGAAAAAGCTATATCCACGGAAGACTGAGGCCAATGGGAAAAGCCCTAGCTCGTCCTCCAGCTATTTGAGTGTGTGGCTTGTTCACACGTAGCATCGTAGCAAAGTTGTGTCGTTCGTGCCCCCCAAGATCCGTGCTGGATATGTTCATGGCTGAGCGGCATAAGTGGTAGAAAACGATTGGCCAAACACTGTTTTCGGTAGGCCAGAAGAAGCGCTGGCGGCGAGCTGAAAAAATCGTCGCTAAGTTCTTCCGAGGCAAGCAGCAACAAGCTGAGGCATTGTTGCTTCGAAGCGTGCACAGCTCGCCTTGGCAAATCTCTGAGTCATGTTCGCGCGAACTGGATTTGGCAAATTGGGTGTTCCTCTGAGCTCTGCAATATTCGGAACTTAGCGGAGGGCCTCGTTAGTCTGTGAGATGAGGCGCGTGACGGACGCCCCCTTAATGGCGAGATGACGGCAGTATGAACGAGATGCTATATAATAGGAAGTGAGACATGTGAAAGCCAAGTCAAATATACACAATGAAAAAGAAAACGAAGAAAAACAGTTAAGGACAATAATGCAAAAA